TTGAGTGCCTTAAAGGTGAGCAGAAGAATTTTGTATTGCACACGAATAGATACAGGCAACCAGTGAAGATTAAATAGAATAGGGGTGATGTGAGCAGATTTTTTTGTGGAAGTTCATAATCTGGCAGCAGAATTTTGAATGTACTGCAGACGAACAATGACACTTTCGAGATTTGCGATCGCATGTGCTCTGTGTAAACTACAGCGGCAGTACTTACCACACATTTTACTTGTGCTTGTCAGTGGTGCTCAGGATCTATAAATCTATTCGCCTATTTTTCAGTGGTCTTTTGCATGCAAGAGATTTACATAAGAAGGAGGAAACAATGGTGTTTGAGGCTCACGGTATGTCATTTCCATGAACAGAACTGTTATTAATCAACTATGCCCAGGTAAATACAGTTTTCCATTCTATGGCACCTTTAATCATCCATCATAAGGAGTCAACAATCTTATAGTATTATTAATGAGCAATCTCATATTATTCTACCCTTTTTCTTAAATGTAAACTTTATAGTTATTATGGGTAATATTTTATGGGTTTATAATATATATTTGTCTTATTTAAAGTTAAATAGGACTGTAAAATAATGTTAGCACCCCAACCTTTTTTGTACATGGTAATTGTTTGCTCTTAAATATTCAGTTTCCACACAGAAACGAGCTGAACAAATGGTGGCAGGTGTTCTTCCTCTGTAGGGCTGGTTACCTAGGCACCAAATTCTTAGATGGTGTCCAACGACTACTGCAGCTCATAAGCTGAACAGAGAGGGAAAGAGAGATAGACTACATAATATGCGTCCCACATGGAAGGTAACAAAATATCATTTATTTATCACCTTGGAGACCAGAAGATGAGAGTTGCGGGAGAATGCTGTCACAGCTTAAACTTAATTGAAAAACAGACACACAAACCAACGAATACACAGGAACGTACAAAAACGCATGTGTGCAAAGGCTACGCGAGTATTCTGTGATCATGGACACACATTTGTAGGGAAGTATAAGTGTTAGAGTATATGCTTATGACGTTTCATTCAATTTGAAGTGGAGGTGTTGGTTTGACATGAGAATTGATGATGGCTCTTTAATCCTCAGTCATTCATATGGAATCGGGGGAGAGTTTTTTTTTTTCTTCTTCACTATTGCTTTAATTCACTTTCTTTGCTTTATCTGAAGGGACTTCACAGTTATGAGTAACACAGGCACAGACGTCTCAGACCACACACACACACACACACACACACGGCACAGACGTCTCAGACCACACACACACACACACACACACACATTACAGCTACATAAATACGGTTTAGAAAAGATCAAGATGAAGCAGAAACACAAAACATAAGCATTAAGGCATCATCTCGGTCTCTCATGACTCTTTTTCTCCCTGCATCTCCTCCTGAGTTCCTTCCCCAGCACCGAAGAGCCATTCATTTTTCATGTGACCTTTAGACAGCCTGTGAGCGGAGAACAAAGCAGGTAGGCAACTATAAATCAGACAACAGAGAAGCAAATGAGGCGGAGAACACTAGGGGTCCAATGCAGAGGCAGAGGTGGTTAATTTGGCATCATTGGCTTTGCAGTCATGCTAAACATGCGGATTCCCCTCCTCGACTCGTGCTAAACTCCGTCCAGATGAACAAAAAGTGCAGAGGATGGGGGTGAGAAATCACCTCCTCCACCTCTAAGGTCATCAAAGGTCCTCTTCTTCACCCACTCACGCGGCCGGCCGAGGGCTTTACCCGTGGGACCCTGGGGTGCCAGCGTCCACACACCCACGGCCAGCTGAAAGATTAAGGGTGAGGGAGCTGCTCGGCTCTCGCCCCCGCTCCAAGGGCTTCCCTCAGTTCTCTATGCCGCTGAAGGGGCTTTCGCTTTCGTTCGCTCAGTACCTTCATTAATTTGCTGGAAAATCTATAGTGAGGCATTCTCTTCCCCGCCCACACAAACACATAGACTCCACAAGAGGCGTAAGCCCCCGTTCCTCCCTCCTGGTCCACGGATCGGTGAGTTTGGAGGGAGAAAGGGAGAGGCTGTGACAGGCAGAATGCAGCCTCTGCTGTTGCTTCCCGTGTCAATATGCAGTCAATTTAGGGCCTCAAAGATGCCAGACTTCACTGCAGTAGTTTGTTTTTAATGTCAAGTGGTTTTCCTAATATCTAGATAAAGTTCAGGGGTCTATCCAGCTTATTTTGCAACACGAAAGTAGGCTGTTTTCTGTGATTGTGCAAGACTTCCGATTCATTAAATAACTACAAGAATAACAAAGTGCTAAAGTAAAGCACTACAAACCAATGTGTTTAAGGTTATAATGATCAATTGAAATAATATAATAATAAATATCAGTCTGCAATATTAAGCAGCATAACAGACTGTTTTTGTACAGATAAAATAACTGGAAGCGGAAGTTACAAATGGCTGCCCCCGCTCTTTTACGTTACAAATAAAGTGCATATTGGTACCAAAACATATTTACAACAACATAGCCTGAAACCACAGGCAATATGATCCTGAGGGTAAAGTACAATCTTTCTGAGTGACCACTCAAGCTAATTAGGCTTTGGCGCAGCAAGATTGCGACATGAAATATACAAAAATGCTTCTCAGATATTCAATTCGAAAACAAAATGTATTGTCTGAATACTTAAACCAGTAGCGGGTGCCTCTGCAAGCAAGATTTTCATTACTGAATTTTCACAGTATAGTCAAGGTTTCCATTGTTGTTTCTTGAGAGGCATATTATGCATGTTCAGTTTGGGTTGGATGAAAGAGTCTTATTCCTTATGAAATATCGCAATATTTCACAAACTATTATACTTTATTTGCTGCAGGCATGTACACTGTACTTTATTAGACACTTTATATTTAATCTATACAAGATCTATTCTTCAAAAGCGGGGAAAAAAACAAATGTAACTAAATCCATGGATAAGATGGAGAAGGGAAAGTCAGTAAACAATGTTTAATTTTTGTTCTTCATTTCACATGCAGAGTGAAAATGCTGGCTTGCATGGCTGGCTTTGCATGGCTTGACACTGACTGATCAATATCCAAGCAAAAACACTGATTAAATCCAGTGAGTCCCTCAGCCCCTTCCCTATACCCTGTCTTCAAATGCCAAGCTTTTCCCTAAGCTACACAACACAACTAAATGCAATAGGGAAAAAAAAAAATATAAATAAAAAAGAATGGTACAAAACTAAAGATACAAAAGGTGCAAAAATGACTATACTACTCAAACAAAATCAAACAATATAAGATAAAAAAAATGCGATATAACACAATATGACACAGAACAATATAATGCAACGCAACCAACTGTATCTGAGTTAACAACATCAGATAACGCTATAAAACAAGAGAGCATCATTTTTCATCATCTTGATTAGGAGTGTTTAAATATTTCTCTTTTAACATACATAGTTCTACTCATACATGCCCCTCCAGAATCTGCAAGAAGTTCATCATTTTGTTAAAATAAGAGATCAAATAATATTTACTTGACATTCACTTTTTTCAAGATAAAATTTCCACAAACTATTGTTTGAAAGTTTACATGTTTTGATTTTTCCTCAAGCAACACACTAAAATTAATTTAA